TACTATAGAAGCTCCAGCTCTGTAGACCACATATAGAAGCTCCAGCTCTGTAGAAGCTCGGTAGACTGCATACTATAGAAGCTCCAGCTCTGTAGACCACATATTATAGAAGCTCCAGCTCTGTAGATTGCATACTATAGAAGCTCCAGCTCTGTAGAGTGCATACTATAGAAGCTCCAGCTCTGTAGACCACATATTATAGAAGCTCCAGCTCTGTAGATTGCATACTATAGAAGCTCCAGCTCTGTAGACTGCATACTATAGAAGCTCCCAAATAACAATATCAGGATCTATTTAAAAAATAATTCAATCATCTTTTGGTGTTGTCTGGTGGTGGTGATGATGGTGATGATGTAGCCCCCTGCCATCTGGTGGTGATGCCTGAATCATCTGGTGTTGGTGATGGTAATGTAGCCACAGTCACCTGGTGTTGGTGGTGGTAATATAGCCTCAGTCATCTGGTGGTGGTGTAGCCTCAGTCATCTGGTGATGGTAATGTAGCCACAGTCACCTGGTGTTGGTGGTGGTAATGTAGCCTCAGTCATCTGGTGGTGTTGGTGATAATATAGCCTCAGTCATCTGGTGTTGTTGGTGGTGCTGTAGCCTCCTGCCATCTGGTGGTGGTGTAGCCTCAGTCATCTGGTGTTGGAAATGTAACCTCAGTCATCTGGTGTTGGTGGTGGTGATGTAACCTCAGTCACCTGGTGTTGTTGGTGGTAAAGTAGCCTCAGTCATCTGGTGGTGGTGGTGCCTCAGACATTTGGTGGTGGTAAATATAGCCTCCTGTCACCTGATGGTGGTGGTAGTAATGTAGCCTTCTGTTATCTGGTGGTGGTGATTTAACCTCCTGTCAACTGGTGGAGGTGGTGGTGATATAGCCTCCTGTCATCTGATGGTGGTGGTGATGTAGCCTCCTGTCATCTGATGGTAGTGGTGATGTAGCCATCTGTTATCTAATGGTGGTTGTGATGTAGCCTCCTGTCATCTGGTGGTGATGTAGCTTTCTGTCATCTGGTGGTGGTGGTGATGTAGCCTCAGTCATCTGGTGGTGGTGGTGGTGGTAATGTAGCCTCCTGTCATCTGGTGGTGGTGGTAATGTAGCCTCAGTCATATTCCTGGATCTGCCCCTGGAACTCAAACATGGAACAGGACGAAATGACTATCTGTGTTCTTAGTGCCAACTCTTCAAAAAGCAATATTACTAAACTATTTATTATAAATGAAGGAAATTAAATAAAATGACCTCAATTTCGGTATTTTTCCGACGGGTCGGTAGTGACGTCACGGTCTACCGACTACGCCATCGACTTATTTTTTTACCGTCTAACAGACGATTTACCGTCAAACGGTAGCACTGGTGTTCATAACTAGCAGACGCCCGCCCAACAAGGGGTCGCAACTTAAGGTTGATGCCACAAGTCCAAAAAACTGAGGGTAAACTTTTTTGTACCGAATTGTAAACTGTTGGAACAATATGTTGTGATGGCACCGAGTATGAGCTCATTTGTGACTACAGTACTGTACTTGACCAATACAGGTGCTGATACAGATACATCCTGAAGACCGTACATGCCAACAGTGTGTAACAGAGCCAGTACATGCCCAGTATTAGCCAACAGTGTGTAACAGAGCCAGTACATGCCCAGTATTAGCCAACAGTGTTTAGCAGATGGGATTGACCGCCCTAGATCACAGTTACAAAGGTCATGTGAACAGAATTAAATTAACTATATAACAAACTTTCAATGAATAAGGAGGTGCAGTACTGTCCACGATGACGACCACTGATGCAGCAACCTGGTCTTCCTCTCCTACACAACAGTAACTAACACAACCAACTGATTCTCCTCTGTAAAGAAAAGAAAGTCTTACGAGTAAGAAATACTTATAATAAATATTTAGTTAAATAACTTTTAAGACTAAAACATTTGTGATGAACGTTATTTATGAGATGATACAGTATTAATAATGTTAAGATTATAATATATTTATTTTTAGGTGAATTAGAGTGAGTGTGTGTGTGTGTGTAACTTTGTATTAGTGTGTTTATCCAATGTGTATGTGCGTGTGTTTGTGTGGATGTTTTTAACAACGTGTGTAATCTTGATCTATTCTAGACAGGTGAACGTTTTTAACCCTTACATACATCAGGTGAACGTTTTTAACCTGTGCCCTTTCATATAAGCAGTTAATGTTGTCAGTCTTTCAGCCTTGTGTATACCAGGCCGCGTCCCCCCCCCTACTTCGTATTAAGCTAAAAACGATAACATTCTGGTATACACAAGCTAATGACTCCCTCCTCTAAGCGGGTTGACCCACACCATAGATTTAGATTGCCCCCGAGGGGGCTAGTTTATTGGGCACCCCCTTACATCCTGTGCAAGGTGAAGCGCAGAAGCGTTTACAGCGCCCAACAGGGAAGCATGCGGAGTTCATGCTTGCCTTTATGACTCATGCATTAAGGGCGTAAAAGCCAGAAGGGTCATGGGTTTTGTCAGCAAGTTACATAGTGACAGAATGATGAGTGTGTGGGGGCATAATAATAGTCTTTACTTTAGCCTTGACCTCAGCTCATTATCCGGGTCATGCAACCTCAGCTGGCCTCATTAACCCGGGTAGTTAAGAGTAATGAAAGTGATTAAGAACTCCCGCCCGTAACAAGCATCCAATGAGGGTGTTGTCTCATTGCTAAAGTGTCTTAGAAGAGTCTAAACTTTGATTACACAGATAAAATTCTTAAGATTCTCGTGTTGTCCGAAAGTAAAAATTTACCCTAACTTCTTTAAATGAAAGCATAATCCAAACAGCATAGTATTGGAGGCCAATTAAGTTACACCACAATTCCTCTACAGTACAGTACGTAACTAAACTTTACTTTATCTTGGTACTACAGTATAGTAAACTCACTTGTGGTAATAAGTGACAAAGCTCCTCAAACTACCAAACAATTTCCTCATTGTTACAGTGACAGATCCCTACAATAATTTCCGGAAATGCGCTCTTCAGTATATTATAAATTACAATGATCCAATCAACAATAAATAACCTTAATGTATGAAGTACTGTACAGCGGGTAAGAGTAACGACTGGCAGCATCCCCGTCCTGTGTTTAAATGGCCAAGTTTTCACAACCAAGGTAGGTACTGTACCTACCTTGTTCACAACACCTTCCTCTCTCCAGCCAACAATTCTATACGAATTGGAAAAACTTTTAAAAAAATCCAACCTTTGTCATACATACATATTTTAATATAAATTTAAGGCAAATTAAGTTATCTCGTTCTATAAGAATAATAAGAAATTGTAAATAAAGAAATGTTTTGCAGAAAAAGCTAAATATAAACACGAATACTGTTCCAAATCCTTCGGCTTCGGATACAACTTTGTCAAATACTTTGCCAACTCCCCAACATTTCTGATATACTCAATTATATCATAAAAAAATATTAAATCCTAGTAACACAACTAGTTTTATCTAAAAATAATACAATACTTTTCAAATTAATATAACGTTTAACTCAGAAAACCTTACCTGGAAATATATACTGCAGTCGAATTACTTCCTGGACAACAATAATGCGGTAATTACCTTACTGGGCTGTTACTGCTGATTAATAATAGATAGATGAGTAATATATATCTATATATATATATATATATATATATATATATATATATATATATATATATATATATATATATATATATATACTGTATATATTATATAAATAGGTAGAGATACATATGTATAGATGGGTGGGGAGACGGATACATATGTATAGATATACAGTAGAAAATGTTTTAATTGAGTTTTCTGTTGTGGTTACTTCAAGGCTTAAGTTAATACAGCATCTACCTGGGGTCAGTACTGTATATGCAACGGTACAGTGCATAGTATAATTATACTTTACATTAACAGTACTTGTATACCAGGACAGTGATTGGTATATTTATATAATTTACCTGTGCATATTGTGCTTTTAACGAGGCTAATAAGGACCCAACGTTATAGCACCTTATTATGGCGGACGATGCCAAGTTATTCAAAAAATTAAGAACCAAACGGACTGTGAAGAGTTACCGGAAGATCTCTCACTTTTAAGGGTGGTCAGAGGAATGGCTGTTATGATTCAATGTCACGAAATGTAAAAAGGTATCACAGAAGGACGGTTGTGATCTTGGGCGTCCCCAGGGTGACTGGCGGACGCTTCCTGAGGCGGTTCACCGTCTCTGGCGCCCCCAGGGGCAGCAGGAAGTCGAGTCCTTTGTTACATCACCCATGCCTCAGTCACACCACCCATGGCCTACATGAATTTTGTTTAAGGTCAGCAAGCTCCTGAAAACACCAATATAGCCTTAAAAGGCCAACCCTGGTGGCCTTCGAGTACCAAGAGATGTTTGTGATGTTAGGACAAAGTTCACTGATTTGAGGACGTCTGTCAAGAAAAATGCAGCTCAATGACTTTATTTAAACTTCTTAACTATTATTCACAAACTAAACAAAACTATTACTGTATATTTCACACAATGATTACAACTTAACTTAAAATACAAATATATGTACAATTTGCAATTAAAAACTTCATAATCACTACTAAATGATTCAAGAAACTAGTAGCTTATTTTATAATAAAAATATTATGAAAAGTACAAAATAATAATACAAATTAGGTGAGAGTCGGTAAAGCCTATGTGACCACTACGTTCTCTAACCTAAAAAGGTGTCTAATTCCTCACCAGCTACAAAATTTCACTGAGGAAATATGTAGAACCTCAACAATTGTTCATCACTTACAGTATATTAAGAGGGTCCAAATGGCCTCGGTACCTTATTTCAGTCACAAAGCTTGATGCTTTAAATATACATCGACCAGCTCCATCTTGCCTGCTAAAACAAACACAGCTTAAGTTTATAAAATAATTCTTATTGGATTATATTTTATCTTTTAATATTATTTTCCATTGAAATCAGCGTTCATGAGGATTATCATAGATTGGAAGGCATATACTCTTTATACAATCTGGAAATACACACACTATGTCGGGGTTTATCCCGTTACAGGAGCTCCAAAGGTCCTGACAACCTCAAGGATCGACTTACAGAGTTAACTGGGAAATACAATAATGTAAATACTTTTGAGTATCCGGCCCCTGGGCCTCCATCTTCGTGTCGAAGTTACTCGTAGATTGAGCCACTTAAGATACAGTCTCACATAATCACTTAGGGGCGAAGACTTAACGTAGGAATCAATGAGAACCTGGGCCCAGTATTGTAGTGATAAGGCTAATGCTCATTTGGTATGTACAGTACACACTCTATCTATAGCTACAGCAGACTGAATAAAAACACAAGCATATATCATGATGTAAGTCTCGCATACTGAAGAAAATTGTCATCGCAGTATGTATGTGTATATATATATATATATATATATATATATATATATATATATATATATATATATATATATATATATATATATATATATATATATATATATATAACTAGGCTAAGAGTATACTGTACAACAGATGTGTGAACCAACTCTGTATAGTAGACCGTCCATTCTAGCTTCTAATACAACCTGGAGAACAAATCTTATATTCTAAGAGTTATCATTCACCCATTTTACTAATATTTATATCTATCAATGAATAGGGTAGTATTGTACCTTCTTATTTGTCACCTTCACGTAATTTAATAATAATATAAACAGATCTACCAGTTTATACTTCCAACAGAACATTGTGGCGATAAATGGTACCTTTCTAGATCCTCTTAGGTATGGTGGATAATGGCACTAGAGCCTCTTAAGAATGGTGGATAATGGCACTAGATCCTCTTGGTTATAGTGATTAATGGTTATGAATTCTCTTGGTGCGACCATTGATTTGCTGCCAATACGTCACCACCAAATACCTATCTTATGATTTAGTGTTCGATTTCATATGTCAAGTGGCCAATCTTTTTTTCTTTTCTTTCTAATAATATTAAATCGTGTTTCAGTTGAAAGTTTCCCTTTATCATAAGCTAGTTTCAATATTTAACTAACAGTAATACGTGGCAGTCATGTCAAGAAATATTAGATATAGTCAGTAATGGAAAAAAACTATAAAATTAAATAAAAAGTTAATGTTTTTAGTTCACATCAATATTTTCATATGACGTCTCACACATATAGAAACTTAAAGGTGTAGCGGATAGATAAGTCCAGGAAGATCATTTTAACACACGTTCTCTATTATGAGTTACAGCCGGGACTTCGCTAATCACCTACTGGTAAATATTTTGACGGGAATATCCCTTTTTTTAAGTTTATATATAGTAATTGCGTTATTTTTGGATCAATAACATAACATACGGTATCTGAGAACAAAATAGTTAATAAGAGAGTAAGAAATATGTTGCAAATAGTACTGAATACGTCACATAATACCTATGGCCATGTCTTACACCGCACCAGCTCCTCACCCACACCTTGACCCCACAACACAAACTTATTTCCAAGTGTATCTTCTATAGTTCATTCTTATTCTAAATATAATCTCATATCGCCAACAGTATTATCAAACTTCACATACTCAAATCTCAGGTGAATGTTCGGGAAACATTAAATATGGTTCATGTCGAAAATGTGGCTGCCTCTTAACTCTTACGTTGTCGGTAAGTCTAAAATATACACCATAGTGTTAGTTACTATTTTCTAGGGCCAGTAATAAATGTGGTTCTTTTTCATCCATCATGCAAACAAACAATATTCAGCCTTTTGCACAAGCCAAGTATATGTATTTATACTAGTGATGGAGGTTCACAATGCACTATGTATATCTATCTATCTTTGGTCAGGGCCGTGAGAGGCGGTAGAGCAGGAAGGAAGGTCTATCAATCAGGGCCGCGGTAAACAGGATGGCACAGGAGCAGACCACCTGCCACCCTCCAGACAAGTGATGGTCTTCTCGCCGTGGAGCACAAACTGGGAGCTACAGTTATAGGTGATGCTGTCCTCGATGGGGTAGTAGAACTTGACGGAGCTCATGGTGCCCGAGATGATGATGCCAGGATACGTGCATGCCTGGGAGCCTGTAGGGGGGCATACAGTGTTAGTACGTGCTTCAGTTGGTGTGGTTAAGGTAGAGATGGTAAATAATTCACCTTTGAACATCAGTAATTGACGTAGTACATACAATAATGACAAGTTAGTATATACTTATAATATTTAATCACAATATGTATACAGTGAGGGATGACTGTAGCAAGTACTAAAAACAGTATTTCATCATTGGTCTGTAGTACATATATAGATACAGTTCTATTAAAAAAATCACGAGAAATGATGTACAGTATTTACACTTGGGGACTTCTGAGGACCAGGTACCATCATCCTGGCATACGAGGAGTGGCTGGCCCACCAACATGAAGCTGGAGTGGCACTTGATCTCCACCACATCCCCAGCAGCGAAGGGTCCAGTGCGGGTCACTTCCCCGTGCTCAGGCGCTCCAGGGCTGCTGCACCGCACCTCTGTAACACAACTCACACCTTCAACACAATTTTGGATCATTTCACCAATTCCCTTAACAGTTCGTTGATTTTTTAACAGGGTCTGAGAAATTACATTACATTAGTATTTTTTTTTTAATTTCACATGATTTAAGTAAATATTTTTAAAATTCATTATTTTTCTTATAGACTTCACAAGATTTGAGAAAATACAGTTCACAGCGTATTTTTTTAATTTACTGTTATCTAATACTGCAGGTAAGACTTACTTTCACAGCTTGGTACAGGACCTGACCAGTTGCCTGAGGGGAGACACTTGGCCTGACGCTCCCCTATCAGGGCTGTTCCTCGGCCACACGAGAAGGTGACCACTGTGCCGAGGGCGGTGTCTCCCTCAGGGTGGTGGTTCGGGGGGGCTGGACCTGGGCCGGGTTGTCCAGTGCTGATATTAAGTGGCGGACAGTCCACCCCTGATATTTGAACAAACACACACGTTACTCCACACTACCTACTCCATACCACCTCCGCACTACCTAATCCATACCACCTCCACACTACCTACTCCATACCACCGCACACTAACATCAGTATGAATCAGAATAAAATTAATAAATGGAATGGCGCACACAGATACACGAAACTTACGTCTTATATCGAGAGTAACAGTGTGGGAGTGACCAGTGGGAGTGACGCAGGTGTAGTCCCCGGAGTCCCCGTGGTGTGTGGTGTAGAGGGCCAGGCGGAACTCTAACTGGGGGTTCCTCAGGGCATCTGTTGTCCACCCCGTCCAGTACTTCCTGTAGGAGGCGCGGGAGGAGGGAGATTAGTCTTTGATTATGGTTGGGTTGAGACTCTTTCATACTGCTTTCATTTATCTTGGGTTTTATATATATATATATATATATATATATATATATATATATATATATATATATATTTTATATATATATATATATATTATATATATATATATATATATATATATATATATATATATATATATATATATATATATATATATATATATATATATATATATATATATATATATATATATATATATATATATATTATATACAGTATATTTCTTTCATCTTTCTTGGTTTATTTTTACATTTTAGTTTCATTTAATTTTCTTAAAACTTTCTGATGGTGTATAACCTGACCTGACCTGACCACAGTACAATATCATGACACTACAACACCACCACCACTACATTACTACAACACTACCACCTACACCACTACAATACTATCAATATATTACTACAACACCACAATACACCACCACAACGCCAACACCACCACAATACTACTCCAACACCACCACAATACTACTCCAACACCACCACAATACTACTCCAACACCACCACTACCACAACACCACCACTACCACAACACCACCTCTACCACAACACCACCTCTACCACAACACCACCAATACATTACCATAACACCACCACCACACAAAGAAGTAGAGCATCAACAACGCACTCTAAGGTTACCTCAACACATTAACCAGCTATCCCGCTCTTTAAAACACTATTGGAGAATTTGTGTAATGTTGCAGACAGACAGACAGACGGACAGGCGGACGGACAGCACCATGACTATACAGTGATACCTCTATTTAAGGGACCAAACGGACCATATATCCACCACGGACGGCACAAACGTCCTCCTCCTCCACGGACAACCTAACACATGACTAAGTAACTGAAGCCTTACCAGCACAAGTGAAGCTTCTTACACTTCATGTTAAATTTCCTATGTTTGTAGTTACTGTGTGAGAAGAAAATATCCAATTAAATACAAAATCACAATACAGTATAAAAAATAAAACAGGCAGAATTATTTTTATAGGTCATTACAAAAATGCGAACCAACACTTCCTAACTCACCTGTAACAAAACTAAGACTCACTAAAAAAAATGGTACACGATAAAAAAATCCCAAATCGAACATGAAGCCATAACTCAATCATATCAATATGAAGAACTATAGTTATCGATCTTGACTTTGCGATTTGGTGGGGCGTGAAATCCCATGTAATCTTTAGTGTGTTTACTGAGCGGCGGCAACTGTCCAAATATTATAAAATGACAGGTGATCATATATGCTCCTTATACAGTGAGTTGTATAAAAAAATAAGTTATTCATTTAGTAACATGACTTTATAAGACAAGCGACCGTCCTTACAATGCGAGGTGGGAGATATCACGTGACCTGACACACCCACAACATCCCGACGCCAGACCGTAAGAAAACACCTATACGGGTATTTATAATAACCATCTACGTCAACCCAACACTTCAGAAGATAGAGGACTCAACTAACTAACTAACAGCAGAGTTGTAGTTCAGCAGAAGAAGTAGAAGTAGAAGCGTAACTGAAGGTGAATTTAAACAAGCCCGTGTACCGGAGGCCAGATGCTGTAGCCATGCAGAAAACGGAAGCTAAAAATCACATCCAATAGAAGAAAAAAGTGCAGTGCTGGGGAAACTTAAAAAATCTGTACATTAAAGTTCCCTCAATAACTAGTAATATACGAATGCATCTATATACTGTACCTTACATCGGGTACAAACACAACTACCAATCAAAATGACAAAACACACAATTCTTTACTGAGACTTTACCGTATCTAGAGGTATTCTTTTTTATATTACGAGAAACCGAAAGGAACTTAAATATACGATATTTTTTTTAAGATGAGGTGAGTGATTGACTGAGTGAGTGAGAGAGAAGTTTTGCCACACCTACCCAACACCCACCACTGCCGGGCCACTGCCGCCAACCTTGCCGAGAACTTCTGTTGGCTTCTTGGTTACTTTACTCTGCGCGGTCTCCTCTACTACAGGGCTGCCACCACACACGCCAATTGTAAATAAAGATAAAACACGTGATATCTTTTATCATGAGACCAGGAATTTTAATTTAATTTTATCCTTGTGACAAACTAATACGCCATATTGTACTGGAGTTTTAATTTCCTCATTGTGGACACCTTCTGCCAGCCTTATCACTGTGCACACACGACAGTTAGTGAAAAGAAACGCTCGAGTCTAGTGTTTGAATGTTATGTAAACTGCTCTGCTTAAAGGAACACATTCTGAACTGTTCTATCGGAAACAACTTATTAATACACATTGAATTATTATTGTTGTCATTATCATTGTCATTATTACTAGTGTTATTATGGCAGTAATACCACCATGCACTGTACAATGATTACGTAGATCAAAATGTCAATATCATCATTATTCCTATAACAGTTAAATATACACAATGATCTGCTGGCCAGTACAGTCCCTACCATTATAAGTATGATCCCTTAACACCACCCATGACTCTACTGTACGCACACACACACACACTAAACCTCAGAGGTCTTGATAAATGTGTCTGTCTGTGTTGACTTACGCGTGTGAGTGTGAAACATTCCAGCGTGGAGTGCCATATCGTCTCATCCATAGGCACTCCAGGTAGAGCTCAGTGCCAGGGTAGACCAGCAGGCGGCCGTCATTGGTCTGGGCGATGGGGCCGTTCTTGTGACGGAATAAGATAGTGGGTGGGCGGTCCACTATAACCACGACGACCAGCAGTAGTACCGTCATCACGCACCAGCGGGAGGGGGAAGAGACGCGCATGTAAACAAAGGTTTAGGTAAATTTTGGCTACTGTTTTGTGAGAGAGAGAATACCGTACTGCTACACATTTATATTTAGGATTGTATTGAAAACATATCTAGTCTAAAATGTATATACGTCTCTAATTCAGACATTGTAGTAACAGTTGCTCAAGGTCACATTAAACACTAAGTTCTCCAATTAATTCCTAAAGCTGGGTGACAGGCAGCCTGAAGAGGGACGGGGGTTGGGGGGGGGGGGTTACTTGCGAGGGTACGAGGGGGGTTGAACGAGGAGAGTTGGGTTGGGTGAGGGACGTACAGGCATAGTCATACTCCCGGTTGAGGCCAAAGCAAACTGGGGAGCCGCTGGTCCAGTACCCGTTCAGACAGCGACGATGAGAGGACCCCGCCATGCCGTACTTGCCTATGTCCACACACCGCGACACCTATAAGAGCGAGAACCCTTCACTATCCACCCCACATTACAGCCTTCCTGACACACACACAGAGGGGCCCATTTGACCCAATAACCTAAAGGCCCCCGAGACTCACCAGCTCGGTGCCAGGGGGGAACTCCGCCACATCATCCTTGACCTGCTTGTCGTTGTGGAAGGTGACGAGGTTCGGGTGATTATTCCTCCAGGTGCAGGAGTTGTTGCCTACTGAGAGGTCCTCGGTGTTGTCATCGTCATCCTCCTGCTCCTCCTCCAGGCCGCAGGGTGAGGGCGCCTTCTGACCCACCCACGACCCTTCCTCACAGCGGATCTTCCAAGTGGTCTTCTCCCCGATGGTGTTGGTGATACAGTTGAAGGTCACCACGGTGCCGTCTGGGAACCTGAACGTGAAACACAGGGCTATTCTAGTGAAGGAGGTACTCGACCATCTACCAGTACCATCAACTAGTCGACCATTCTACCAGTATAAATGACCGTATGTAACCAAGGTCGAGTCTCGGTATAAACTTAACGCCATTTTGGAAGTATATTTGTAATGTTATCGCTTCAGTAGCCAAATTAGAGACGTGTTGTTGAGGTGTTAACTTACGTCACACACCAACATCTGAGAATTACTGTCTGTTTGGTTCATGAGATCAATAAGTCATTAAGCTGTTAACTCCGTGTTTAGTGGCTTGGCTTTGGTCTCTCTCTCTCTCTCTCTCTCTCTCTCTCTCTCTCTCTCTCTCCACCCCCTCCACACACACACCTGCGTTCGTTCCTGTGTAGCGGCTGACCGTTCTTGTAGATGATGGTGCCTCGGACTCTGGCTGGAGGACTACACGAGTTATGGAGGTTTGGGATGAGGTCAATGCCTGTGATGTCACCACCAGGGGTCAGGTCACCTTTCCCGTACGATAACACTGTCGGGGGGATGAAGAAGGTTACAGTGAAACGTCTATTTAGCGGACTATATAGAGAGAAAAGTACGTTATATCGAGGGTCCGTTAGTAGTAGTTTAAGGGGAGATTGGAGGCCATAAAAAAGGTACTAGTTGTAGTAGTATCTTTATTATCATTACTACTACTACTATCATCACAACACAAGGGTACTCACCAGTAGGCGTCCGTTTGAGAGGAGGAGGCAGGTTGTGTGAGGCGGCGTGTGTGGCCTGTGCTGGAGTGACACAGGTAGGTGGGCTGGGCTGTAGGTGACCCAACTCACACCTCACTTCCTCCACGTTCACCAGCCAACCTTCCTCACACGAGTACTCCACCTTACTCCCGTGTACGACTTTCGAGCCTTCCTCCTCGTCTCCCGCGTACTGCCCGTGTATCACCTTCGGCAGTGTACACGGCTCTGGGGGAGAGGGTGTAGGTGTAGTGAGATGAGAAAAATGATTAATTAATGGATCGCGTGAAGATTAGACACCTCAGTTTATTTCACTTGATGAGGGAGGGAAGAAGGACTCAAGAGTGGGGGGGAAGAGGGGGGGGGGAGAAGCAGTGTGAGGGAGGGAGGCACTCACCTGGCTGGCACTGAGGGCTGGTGCCAGTGACCGTCCACTCACCATACCAGCACCTGAGGGTGTCGGAGCCCAGCACGGTGTAGCCTGAGTGACACGAGAACTTGACCACCTCAGCGTGCCCGATGGTGGCTCTCTCTGGCACCTCACCTCCGTTGAACGTATACTGGCCGTTAAGAGCCTCTGGCACTGAGCATGGCACTGTGGCACCACACAAGAAGAAACAAGCGTCAGAAACAGACCAACTACACAAGAATAAGTCACCACTAACATTTATGGTACTCTAGGGATTTACTTAATTTTTACTTTATATTACTTACTTAAATTATATGTAAACAAGTCACTAATTATCAGTGCTGTGTCTATAATGTTGGTACAGTATAATAAGGGGACGAGGCAGTACTCACGGGAGATACACTCAGGCTTCATGGGCTTCCACCTGCCTCGGGAACACTTGGCCGTCTTGTTGCCTATGTTGAGTCCGTGGCCGTAGAGGCAGGTGACTCTCACCCTCGCCCCCGCCGAGAAGGTGTAGTTGGTGTCCCGTCCCGCCCGTACCACCTCCACCCTCAGGTACGGCTCCCCGCCCAGCTCCTCGCAGTGTGGTGCTGCCGAGGACAACGCTGGGTCACACTACACCCAACACCAGCGCTTATCTCACCACCCCCTAACGAGAGCGCGTACACAGACGTCCATAAACACAAGACACTAATAAACAAACCAGCGGCCAAGTTTAACACGAACTGATGCTAATTTGTTTTAACTTATTTACTGGGTCGTGCGTCGTGGAGGTGAAGCCGAGTGTTTGTACCAGAGTTCTCAACAGTAAAATATATTCATGAACAGCCGGACGCAGAGCTTTACATGTAAGATCACTGTCAAGGCAAACAACGAGTAAGACAGTCTCTCGCCCTCCCTCACAACAACCTTCCATGTAATCCGAGAACAATCTTTTAAACAAATTTCCCACAACAGACATAAATCACCTTCTCTTAAAAATTCTCTTCTTTTAAAATATATTCCTTGTGATCTGTTTCCTTGAGGTTGACGCCGACTCAACACACCTAGACATGTAAACAATGTCTGGGTGGTGTAGGAGAAGTGTTGTCATCACCACCTAGTACCTGTTGTCATCACCACCTAGTACCTGTTGTCCCCACCACATCAATCACAACTCCGACCCCCCCCCCACCCCCCCCCGCCAAAAAAAATGAATAAATAAACTTTTGACTGAAGGTTAATAATGAAGAAATCATACAAGAATAAATTATCATTCATTATTATTTTATTGTCTTAAGTCGGGGTATAACATATAGTCAAACACACACACAGAAAAAAATCTTAATGACAAAGCGCCTCCTAAAGTGATGAACAGCTACGAACGACTACTAGAGTTGGCTGAGCATGCATGTATAGATTGTTGTGGTGAATTGAGTGGCGTGAGTGAAGCAGAGATTACACAGACACTATATATTATATACTAAGACGGCAACAACAACAACAATGTGATCTAGAGAGGTTTAGAATTATTAGAACTGCCTCACCTCACCTCACTTCACAAGCAACCATTAAGTCCTCTTGTTCACTCCACCACGTCACAACAGCCTACCTTTTTTACCCTTCTTTTTCGATTTATTTCTTCTTTTGTGATCGTCGCTTTTCGTTTCTCTTTTGGTATTTCTCAACACTCTTGCCAACAACGCACTACCGCCGTCCACCTGAGACCCCGACCCCGACAAGCTCCTCCGGCCGAATAAACTGTTCTCCCTGGCCCATTCTCTTCCCTCCTCCTCATACTTGGCCCAGGTCTCTAAACGTGTACTCTTCTCTGTATCTTTTAGCGGAGAAAACACCGTCGTCTCCTCCTTCGTGTTGTTGTTATGCTGCACAGGTATTATTAACGAATCCGATACTGATTCATTGGTATTATTAGCGATGGTTATTGGGCCTTCGATGTGGTCTGCTTCAGGATTCTGGCCCGTTAGCCAAGAGGCCAGAGACCCTACGAGAGAACCAGCGAGAGTGGACAGTCCTGCAACACCACCATCACGACCATCAAACGCTCTATCAGTCAACTCCTTCGTCGTCTCCCCCTCCTGTGTGGCATTGAGATACTCCAGGTAGTCGGACATATTGACTGACCTCTTGATCATCCACTGTACACGAGGGTGGAGTTCTGGAGAGCACCTGTAGAAAGAGAGAGAGAGAGCACCCTAATGTTACCTGGCCTTGGGAGGGTTAGGTTAGGTTATGGTGGAAGAGATTAAAGAGTTAGGACAGGTAATTTTTTTTCAGTGTGTCTGATGGACTTAAGAAGGTGAGTTAATCAATTAGCTCAACAGGGCGAATCGAACTGACTTAAGAGGTTGAGAAGGTGAATCAAGGTGACCAAGCAGGTTAAGGTGAGGCTGTGAGGTGACTTACTTAGGCAGGTTCTTAGGGCTCCACTTGCCGGCGACACAGGTAGCCCCCGGCGGCCCCTCAGACAAGAAGTATCCCCGGTTACATTCATATCTTATCCGCCGGTCATTCCGTACCTGTGAAGGAGATCAGGTCAGGTCAAATTAGGTTCTCATACTTTCTTCTGTTCCCTTATAATAGTATGCACTAGCATGTAATAGCACACCCTAACTAACATGAGTTCTCTTTCAAAAACAGGTGTTGTGCTAGTATACTACTATCACCCGACTAGCGAACCCCCAAAAAATTCACTAGCAGAAACTATTGGTCTCTAATATATATATATATATATATATATATATATATATATATATATATATATATATATATATATATATATATATATATATATATATAGTAACTAGTTAAAAGTTGGGTGAGAGAGAGTGGAAGGATGGGTCCTGGGTGAGTGAGTGAGCGGGTGAATGAATCATGGGTGAGAGGATGAGAAAAATCCTGGGTGTATATAATGGATTAGGTATACACTCACCTTCCTCACATAAGGACGGTAGATATACATGCCCATATTGCCCACGAGCAGTACCCTTCCGTCTACCAGATACCCGGGAAATGGGCAATAAACTGTAAAAGAAAAATACAGATAAAAAAAGGAATAAACAAACAAGTAAATATCAATATGAAAAGTATGGAGAATAAAAATGGAATCAAAACAAAGGCATAAATCATCTCCTCTACTCACCCACCCTACACCAAGGCGTTCGTCCCGTCCAGTTACCAAAGTGGCATTTCGTGGTCTGTGGTCCCATCAGCTCGTAGCCGTCCTTACACCTATACTTGGCCCTCATACCGTGGCCAGTCCTAGGTGCTATAACCATGCCGTGACGGGGTCTCACAGGTAGCTTCTTACACCGCGCTTTTGGTGGTGAGGAGAGATATGATTAGTAATGCGCGCGCGCGCGCGCGCACACACACACACACACACACACACACACATGGTACTACAATCAAATATACAATACTGTAGTACTAAATAATATTATCTTTAAGACTTGGAACTTAGAAGTTGATGTGATGGTATGGTTTGGTGGTGTTGTGGTGGTGCAGTGTGAGATGTGGTATAAGGTAGTGATGTGAAGTGGTGTAGGGTGGTGATGGGGGCAGGTAACCTAACACTCACCTGGCTGACAGTGAGGGTAATGGGTCCAGGTGCCATTGTAACAGGTAGAAGGAACGGTCTTGAAGGTCGGCTCGTAAGACTTGGAACACCTCACCCGGATGACGCTGCCGTGAGGTACCTGGGAGCCTGGCTTGGTCCCGTTGGTTAGGTTACCGTTCTCGATGGTGGGCACGATGCAGGGAGCTGTTGTTGGGGACATCATTAATCATTATCATCCACTACACACACGGGTTAAAACAGTGGTCTTAAGTGTGTGTAGACGAAGGAAGCTACTCACTCACCAAGACACTTCGGTAGAGGGTGTGACCAGGTGCCGTTCTTCTGACACTCGGTGCGGTGGTCGTGGTAACCTTCATACTTCATGTTATCATTGCACCGGAACTTATACACGGCGCCGAAGTTTGTCCTCGAGCCTTCCAGCCAGCCGTTGTACAGGTCGCCGGGGAAGCCACAGTCGATCTCTGGCGGCAGGAAGGAAAAAAAACTGTTCGTGACCTGATTCGAACACGTCAATATTTTTCTTGCGTTCCCGAAGTCATTTTTACTATAGTTTGACTTTACTTAATTAATAAATAGGAAAGGTATTTATTAGTCAAGGGGTTCGTGTGTTATTTTACAGTTTACAAAATTGGGAAAATTTACCACGTGTGTTGTAGAGTATGGGAGAGAAACGTACAATACACACATACACACATACACACCTTTACAGCGAGGCATACTACCACTCCACCTCGTGTCTGGACCACAGCGGCGGGTGGAGGGGCCGACGATCATGTAGCCGTAGTTACAGTCGTAGGAAACCACGGCGTTGTAGAAGACGGAGTTAAACTTGGCCTGTCCGTTCTCTGGGTTGTCGGGCATCGAGCACTGGATGGCTAATGAGAAAGGTTAAAGGTAAAACAAACACAGGGGAAAACACACACACACACACACACCTGGTCAACGTTACAAGTGCCTCAATTATCATCTTACGTTTACAGGTAGGCAGGTCGCGTGGGTTCCAGGTACCGTCGTGCTGACAATAATACTTGCTGCGCCCTTCCATGCTAAACCCCGGCCGGCAGTGGTAGGTGACGCGGCAGGAGAAAGAGTAACATGACCCCTCCTTGAACCCGTTGAGAATCTCGCCAGGATCCCCACACTCCTTGGCTGTAGGAACGTTGAGGGGTCAGCGTTGGGTTAAAATGATTGGAAATTGTAAGTGCTGTGTTAAAATGATTGGAAATTGTAAGTGCTGTGTTAAAATGATTGGAAATTGTAAGTGTTGTCTTAAAAATGATTAGATTGCAATAGTGTTAGGTTAAAATGATTAGAGATGATAAAGAAAGAGTTATATGATTGTAGATTGTGATAATACAATTCTATCACTCATATTAACTGTTCTAATATATCATTCATAATATTCCTCAACCATTTTGCATTCATTCACCCCATTTTTCATCGAGAACTTGGGCTATACTTTTTTTGTACCAGTTTTATGGGGTTGGTAAATTCTCTGGAGTGTGGTGGCCGAGTGGATTTATCGCTCGCCTGCCGTCCCTAAGGTCGTTGGTTCGAGGTAACTAGAGACCCGGGGGACAGAAAGCGACTGCTGTATCCACTCGGCTGCTGCTGCTCTATGTAGTGTGTATTATAACAAATGGTGTTCTATAAACCTCCTTCTTCTCCACCCAATGAGAAGAGAAGGAATGGGAATATACACATACATACATAAAATGAGATACAAAATACTTACACACACACACACACACACACTACAGAAAGAAGACTCCCCCCCCCCTCACACACACACACACAATACTCACGCACGCACTCAATCTCGGGGCCAAACCACTGCATCGTGTTGTTGTAGAGGAAGCACTTGGCCACGTCGAAGCCCGTGGTGGTGTACCCTTCATAACAGCGGTACTTGAGGGTGTGGTTAACCTCAAACCTCGTCCTTGCCTCCACACCGTCATGCCTGGCGTGAGCTATGACTGGGGGCGTGGTGCAGTATACTGAGGGAGGGGAGAGAGTACCTGGTGATAAGGAGTTGAGGCTCAGTGTTGTGGTGATAAACTGGTGGTGATAAACTGGTGAAATACTCTCTCTGTGTTGGTAATAAAACAGTGGTGCAGTATGTGGTGAGAGAAGAGGTGTACTCACAGTTCTCGCGGCACTCTGGAGGGGCGGAAGACCAGGTGCCATCTCCCTGGCACTGTCGGGTCTCGTCACCAATCAGATGATAACCCTGCTGGAGGTACAGGTGTTAAATTATGGCCGTCTGTCTCCCTTACAGGTACACATACATACATACATACATACATACATACATACATACACACATACATACCCCTCCTACACACACACACACACACAAAAGAAAATAGTTCTTTAACACTGAGGCGGAACAATGTGAGGCTGGATATACCGTGTAGATAGCCTCGCTACCCCCGCCTTGTGAACATACTGCAGAGAACAGCCACGTCGGGGAGAGGGTGGGGGAGGGTGGGGAGGAGAGGGTGGGGAGGAGGGAGAGCAAGGAGGTCGTCTGATAGCAGGTGAATGAAAATACTGCATGTGTGGAGTGGATGCGTGTGGGTGGATGTGTATGGCTTGGTGTATGTGTGGGTGGGTGGGTGGAGTGGAGTGGGTGGAGTGTGGGTGAGTGAGTGGGTGGTGTGTGGGGAGGGGGTGTGGGTGGAAGCGGCAGAGTTTCTCAAGGAACTAGAATTGGGTTGTGACGTTCCTGCCACACAGACACCTGCTCTGAGAGAGAGAGAGAGTTAAAATAAGCCTCGAGGGAAAAGTCAATTCTCAGTTCCACCTCTTGATGTGAACCCAGCGTGGCAATAGAGCCAAGTACTGGGTCCACTGGCACTAGGACCAGGCGCTGAGGCCAGGCACCAGGGCCAGGTACTGGGTCCAGGTACTAGGGCCAGGCGCTGAGACCAGGCACCAGGGCCAGGTACTAGGGCCAGGTACTAGGGCCAGGTACTGGGTCCAGGCACTAGGGCCAGGTACTAGGGCCAGGCACACCTGCTGACACTAGTAACACCTGTACCTACTAAAACTTACCAGTAAATACACCTGGTAGTACCCACCTGGCGACATTAATTTACACCTACTGAAACTTTTTTATACCTGACATTAATTTACACCAACTGAAATTTTTACACCTGGTGACACCTGCCAGTACCCACCTGTTGACACTTGTACCTGGCCTGAGCACCCACACGCTTCCCATTAAACTCCACGAAGCCGAACAGCGGGTTATCGAGGTCAGGGCACTCCTTGTCTGTAACGGCAGGATACAGGGGCGATTACAGCGGGTGAGGGGCATGATGTAACACTATTTGTGTCTGTACCGTTAACTGTACACTAATTTGTATTATTATACTAGGTTACAGTAATTGAGAGAATACAATTCATTACAAAGTGTACATTGAATTTTGTAATGGGTACAGTTTAGTAGTTCATCATTAAGTATAAGAGAAACACAAAATACAGTCTGTTACATAATTAGTACAGTAATTAGGGTTATTATTAATGAGCTGGAGAGAAGAGGTGGTACAGTGGCTGAATTTTGTACCATATTAGGGTGTGTCATAGGAGGGAAGATCAGCTAAAACTAATGGCCCATCACTTTTTTGGTAGATTTTAGTGTATACAAACAGAAAATAATTTAAGTTTCAATATTTTGCAACCTTTTGCTAGGTAAATTTTAGCGTGAAATTTAACGAAAATCTAACGTACAGCTGCATTAGTGCATTACAATTAAATCGTGAACATTGCTTTCTGACTTCATTCTTTAACCACCCAACTAACAATATTTTTTTCTGTTTCAGATTCTGATGCATTTATAAGTTGATAATATTTGCGATGGCTGCTTGTGTCAGGACGAGGAACCAAAAATCCAGCCATCTCAGTCACTATCTTGGGTCTGGGAGAGAGCTCCTGAAGTCGAAGTTGCCTACATTGAGAGATGCTTTGAGATACGGTGTTTTAATCAGGCAAATCAGTAAAAAGAACCAAAGAACTTACACAAACAAAGACATTGCCAGTGATATGACCAAAGCTGTCTTGGCACAGTACACTCTGGCTAACGCTCAGTTCAAGCCTCCAGTCATAACAAGTCAGAAGATTAGTGAGAGACTGCTAGCCAGTTGGGAAAAGGCAAGAGATATCTCTCTTGGGAGAGGAAAACTTGCAGTTAAGGACAGCTTTGCCAAGCAACTGTCCTGAGTTTGAATGCGATCGTGACTGTAAATCCGGGGCCCACATCTCCTGTATTTGCAAGCGTGAACTGAATTCGCAATGATCGAACTGGCATTTGTCAAAGCACAGAGAGAAGACACAACATTATGAGGCTCTCTCATGATTTCTAGCCAAGATATTCCAGGTCCAGAGACAGGGAAGCTGCCACAGAGACAGAAGAGGAGAGAAAGAGTTGCCGAGGAAAAGAGACTTGAGAAGGCCCAGGGTGAGGTAAAAAAGGCCGATGATTGAGTCAAGCTGATTCAGAGTTTAATGACTTCCCCCATGGCTGATGCGAGTGCTTTGTTCATGAGAATGGTGACTTTGTCCCTAACCCAGAAAATAATGATCCCAAACCTTCCAGGCATAAGATTCCGGAAATAGGAAAGATATCGAAGCATAGCTCTGGCCAGCATGCGACACCACACTGGTCTCAGAGGAAACTGCAGAGATAGCAACAGCTGCCTGGATTGACGGTGGTTTGATAACACCTGATGATGTTTACCTGGTGATAGATCATAACAAAATGAAGCTCAGGAGAAACTTGTCAATAACCTAGAGAGTTTGATAAGGGATAAGAAAAATGGAATCAATTGTTTGTTCTTTGATGGGAGAAGGGATGACACTAAAGTGTTCATGAAAGTTGGAGATTCATGTAAGTTGTTCCCTGCCATGGTGAAGAACACTACTCCTGCTGCAGTGAACCAGGAGGAAGTATTTTGTGGCATTTCACTCAGAGAAAGATGACATCAGGAAACCAGCTGAGATAGTGGCAGAAAACATTGTGAACTGGCTCAGAGAGCATCAGGCCAGACCCTGCAGCAGGCCATTGGAGGGACAGCACTGCCTGAACACAGGGTGGCAAGGGGGGTCATACAGTGGATGGGAAGCGGAAGATTAGGGAGAAGCTGAGGGTCTGGATTGTTTGTGACCTCCACACCAACGAGTTGCCACTCCAGACATCTGATCCCAGGAGCTGGATGGCAAGACTCTTTCAAACAACAGATGGTCTGGTCCTCTTGGCAAGATGCTGGACTCTGCGCAGGTGAAAATAAATCCGAGCTTTGAAAAATCACAGTTGGCCCTCCACTTTCGTTGAGCTTACATACTGTACATTGACGACAGTACTGACCAGTACTATGGTTACATGATTTGCAGTGCCATCAAACTGGGGTCATGCCTGATAGACTTACTTACCTGCAGATAGGTCCAGTCTCACATTCTAGGTGGCTCACAACAGCTCTCAGGTTCTGCAGAATTTGGGTCGCTCATCATAAACTGAAAGGAACAGCTTCACAACCTGGAACTTATTGTCCAATTCATCGTAAGTGTCTCTTGCCAAATTGGTTCAACACCAAGAGCTCAAGTCATCGTTCTCGAAAGGTCAGGCATGTTCTCTTCAGCAGGCTCCTGAGAGTCCCAGCCAAGGAGAGTTGTTCAGGTGTGGAGCAGACTGTGAGAATCTTCCTGGCATGTGCTCATCCCGAGGCAGTTCTGCAGACAATGCTCTGCAGTAAGGATGAAGAGGAGAGAAGAGTGGCAGTCAAAAAGATCTTGGATAGCAGGACTTATGAGAGGATCTGGGCATGACGAATCAGTTGGTGACGATTCCTTCAGGGTCAGGAAGACTCCTGAAGTCAATCCTAGGTGCCAAGACCTCACTGATCCTCATAGTCTGGATAGCACCCAGGCTGGCAGTGAGCCCCCGCACCTGCAGCCTCTGTATCATTCAGAGTCAGAGCTTTTTCCTCGACAACCCCATGCATGTCCTGCTGGCCTCACTTTTGAGTATAGACCGTTGTGTACAGCAAGTGAAAGCGAGGCCAGCAGTCGCGATATTACAACCAGGAGAGGAGAGGCTACATCGAGCTCAGGTGGTCAGCAGGGAGGTGATGAGTAGAAACAGAAGCAAGAAAGACATGTTCTCTATATGGTGTGCAGCAACAGGGTCGTAGTAAATGCAAACCAAAGTTTTTGTATTTGATGATTTTGTTTTCACAAAGGAATATTCGAATTTAATAAAATAATCAGAGCATTCATTTCACTATTCTGGATCATTTTCATCCTAATAAATTAACCTGATACATTTACTTTACTTTAAATAAGCTATTTAGTGGTGTTGGTAAAGGGTGGGAATACTGAATTTTCATAAGATTTCAAGTTAAATTTACCTGTAAAAATAAAAGCTTTTCAAATCTGAAGATATCATGATTCTGCATAGAACGCTACATCATTAATACATGGACCGATTTTCAAACTCAAAAAAAAAAAAAATTCGCCTCCGTATGACACACCCTAAAATACCATATTCTGTACATTAATGGGTTGTTTTAGTACAATGTGGTAGAGTATAGTACAGTAGGTGGGTGTAGTACAGCAGAAGTATGAGTACACTTGTGTGAGAGTTAAAAAGCGGTGTTTGGTCTGGCACTACAAGCACGAGTTACCTGCTACCCTCTCTCTCTCTCTCTTCCTTCCTCCTTACCTCCAACCTCCATCAACCTTCCTACTCTCCTCACCTCCCTCCATCACCCCCCCACCACAGAAGTTTGGCAGATCATAATTTACTTAGAGAGTTACATTACGTGTGTGTGTCTGAGGCGAATGAGTTAAGTGGTGATCATAGTGGACATCCCCTCATTCCTTTACGTTAGTTCAGGTCAGGTCGGTCAGGTCTAGATGAGGAAAAAACAAAGATAAAACGTGCTAGAGGCGAGGACAGACTATCCTAACCCACAACTCCTACACTATCTGTCAGCTCCCGGTGATGATGATGGAAGGTGTGTATGTCTGTCTGTTCCATGAGAGGAGATAAGAGTGCTGCTGGTTAGTCAGTGGTGATGGAAAAGATTCACATTTTCTCGTCGGTTAGTCGTAATGATGATAGTAGTTATAATAATACTCTATAAAAATGATAGTGATGATGATGATGATGATGATGATGATGATGATGATGATGACGATAATAAATCCTTCCTTATTTAACCACTCCTCCGGAAGACACTGTAACAAGTAAACATCAATTCTCGTCTATAGTGTTTCTCTGCAAAGATAAACCCTCTACAATGTTTACCTTGTCCGAGTCGAGCTAAAGTACGTAAGACGATGTGGGGTGTGTGTGTGTGTGTGTGTGTGTGTGTGTGTGTGTGTGTGTGTGTGTGTGTGTGTGTGTGTGTGTGTGTGTGTGTGTGTGTGTGTGTGTGTGTGTGTGTGTGTGTGTGTGTGTGTGTGTGTGTGTGTGTGTGTGTGTGTGTGTGTGTGTGTGTGTGTGTGTCTCAGTAAAGTTTCTAATCTTCTGGTTAATTACACACCATCAGAAGTCCTCCCAGTTCCTCCCACCTTGAAGCATCTTTCTTCCAATCCAGTTATAAATTCTCTAAGAAGTCTTCAAACCTCCTGGAAAGGGGTTCGTCGGACGATTTCTGGAACTTCTAGCTGGAAATGATTCATCGAAGGAGCCTCCAAAAATCCTACAGGGAAAACTCGCTGGAAACGGGTCTTGGGAGGAGCCTCAGAAACGTCTCCCAAAACTTACTGGAAATGATTCATCGAAGGATCCTCCAAAAGCCTAAAAAAAATCCTGCTTGAAACGGGTCTTTGGAGGAGGAGGAGGAGGAGGAGGCGCGTCTCAGCTGGTATTGGCAGACAGGACGCCGTTGTGATGGGCCGCCATGTCATGTCTCCCCAGTGTCAGCTAACCCCGTTTAAGGCCCTCACTTATTGTGCTTCTTCCCGGTGCTGGCCAAGCACTTTTTTCCCGGCAATTATTGCTCCGCCGCCTGCTGGGGACTGGGGTGTGGCAGGGTGGGCCATGGTGGGAGGGATGACGGTGGTGGTGGTGGTCGTGGTGGGTGGCCATGGTGGGGTGGGAGTATGGCCATGGTGGGAGGGGTATGGCCATGGTGGGGAGGGGTACATGGTGGGAGGGAGTATGCATGGTGGGGAGGGGTAGGCCATGGTGGGGAGGGGATGACGGTGGTGGTGGTGGTCGTGGTGGTGGCCATGGTGGGGAGGGGAACGGTGGTGGTGTGTCGGTGGGTGGCCATGGTGGGAGGGGCTGAGGGGTGTGTGCAGGGAAAATGTGGCAAGGACAGTGTGGTGGGTGGCCAGAGGGTAGAGTATGGCCAGGGGATATCGGCCAATGGGAAGGTGGTGGAAGAAATAAAAGAAGAGGAAAGAGAAACAAGAAGAAGAGGTAACACACCAGCAAGCACCAGACCCACCAAGGACCCTGCCACCTGCTGCCCCTCCTCCAGGTAAGACGGACTGTAATAAGGAGAGGTCTTACCTGTACTGTGGTGGATGATTCATCTTGATATAAGACACACTCCCCGGCCAGGTGTTCTCTCTACCACCTGATCCCTACCTTTACTGGCCAGGTGTTGTGTTAATTAGTGTTGTTGTTATTATTATTATTAGTACTATCACTATTATCATTGATGTTGTTATTGTTGATGTATTTTTTTTGCATTATGTCTCCACTCACAGTGACGTTTATAACTCCACAAACGCACAGACAGACACACAGAACCAAAAGAAATAATCCCACAACCAGCCAGCCATTACTCTACTGCGAGGTATAAAATATAATTAAGACAAAACTTATTAATTTTGTGTTTCAAGAAGTTCACTTGATACAGTGCAGGCAGAGCAAAGGCACACACACACACACACACACACACACACACACACACACACACACACATTCACTCCCACCCCCCACTACAAACAAAACACAAAAACTCCACCCACACACAACCCCCCTCCCCACCCACACACGAGGAGGGGCCACAAAGCCCTCTGCTGCCGTGGTCGGCCAGCTGACTGAGAGCTAAAAAGATTTTGTAAATAACTCGGCCAACACAAGTTCTGTTTTTAATAAAGAAAATGTTGTTTGTTGTTGTTGATGATGATGTTATTGTTGTAGTTATTGTTATTATTATTATTATTATTTGTTATGTATATTAGTAGTAGTAGCAGTAGTTCTTTATTTACAGAATGGCAATGAGAGAGAGAGAGAGAGAGAGAGAGAGAGAGAGAGAGAATGAATGAATAATCCAAACTGACAACATAGGCTGCTGTATTTACACTTAATTCCATCCACTGTGTCATAGCTTAAAAAAAAAAAACTAAACTATACTAAAAACAAACGAAAAATAACAACAACAAACGAATAACTGTATTTCATCGTTCATTCTGTTTGTTGACATATGTGAGTAAAAACACACATACAGGGTTATTTACTGTTTGTTACTGCTGTTTGGACACATGCATTCCCGGCCACTGTTTTGGGTACATCTGCCCACGCCCCGTCCAGCTGGGAGGGGGGAGGGGGGAGGGGGGAGGTAGGGGAGGGGGGAGGTAGGGGAGGGGGGAGTAGGGGGGTGGAAAATTTATATGTGTGTGTGTGATTGCAATTTATTTTATGTATGTATATGTATGTATGTATGTATGTCCGTTTATGTATGCAATATGTGGTTTGTTATATTTGTGACTGCAACTGTGTGTGTGTGTGTGTGTGTGTGTGTGTGTGTGTGTGTGTGTGTGTGTGTGTGTGTGTAAATTCTGTGCGCCATACACCTGCCAGTTCTCTAATACCATGATGAACTAATTAGACCTTCACACCTGAAGCTGTTACAGAAAACGAAGACAATTAAGAGAGAGAGAGAGAGAGAGAGAGAGAGAGAGAGAGAGAGAGAGGCCAGATGAAACACACTGCACCATACACACACACACACACACACACACACACACACACACACACACACACACACACACTTTGCCTCATCACCTGTTACACAAAATAATTTACGGTCTTCTCAGAATCTCTGGCTGGAGATGTTTTTCTTGCTGTGTGTGTGTGTGTGTGTGTGTGTGTGTGTGTGTGTGTGTGTGTGTGTGTCTGTGTGTGTGTGTGTGTGTGTGTGTGTGTGTGTGTGTGTGTGTGTGTGTGTGTGTGTGTGTGTGTCTGTCCACCACCAGCTAGTACAGGTGAAACTAACCTAACCTAACCTTATCTAACCTAACCTAATCTAACCTTATCTAACCTAACCTAACCTTTTCTAACCTAACCTAACCTAACCTTATCTAACCTAACCTAACCTAACCAACTACCTTATCTAACTTAACCTAACTATCAACCTAACCTAACCTAACCTTATCTAACCTAACCTTATCTAACGTAACCTAACCTCATCTCACCACTTCCAGGACATAAATTACAGAAAGACTTAGTGAGAATTACCTGGGAAATAATTCATACAGTGCTGTGACACACAACCTTCTACTCAAAAAAAATATTAAGGAAAGTAAGAGGGGAGAAAGTTAGCTCTCTCTCTCTCTCTCTCTCTTCGTTGTTATATAGATGAAAAGCGAAAGGATTGTTATAGTAAATTACATAAAAAATCGATTAAATTAAATCATAGCTTTGACTTATACCAAGACACAGACAGACACAGACAAAACAGACAGACAAAACAGACAGACAGACACACAGACAAAACACACAGACAGACACACACAGACAAAACACACAGACAGACACACACAGACAGACATGCAGATGCAGCACCGCGTCTACAAGCTTTCAGATGAATAGGTCGCCATTTTTGCAGACTCAACAAACACAGGTTGTTTATGTCTTATATGCTTCACCCCTTCCCTACCTGGAGGCGGGGTGAGGGGGAGGGAGGGGGGGGGAGGGGGGAGGGGAGGGGGGGGGGGGGGAGGGAGGGGGGAGGGAGGGGGGGGAGGGAGGGGGGGAGGAGGGGGGGGGTGAGTGGAGGGGGGGGGGAGGAGGGGGGGTGGAGGGAGGGGTGAGGAGGGGGGGGTGAGGGAGGGGGGAGTGGAGGGGGTGGGGAGGAGGGGGGGGAGTGAGGGGGAGGGGGGGGTGAGGGGGGGGGTGAGGGGGGTGAGGGGGGGGGAGGGGGGGGGGGGGAGGGAGGGGGAGGAGGGGGTTGAGTGGAGGGGGGCAGTGTGAGGTAGGAGAGAAAGAAAAATGAGGGAATGAGAAGGAAGGGGAGAGGGATGGAAAGAGTAGAGGGAAGGAGGTGGGAGGGAGAAGGAAGAGGGAAGGGGAGAAGGAAGAGGGATGGAGGAAGGAGGGGTAAAGAGGAGGAGGAGGGAGGAAAGAGATAGGGAAGGGGTGGAAAGAAAGAAGGAGGAGGTGAGTGTGGGGAAGAGGTGGACTTTCAGAGGGATGGTAGAGGAGAGGGAAGAGAGAGCCTTGGTACTATGTGTGTGTAATGTTACTCTTCTGAGCCCTACCAGAGGCGCCTGCAGTACAGGAGGAGGGTACTTGATGAGGGACACACACACACACACACACGGGAGAGGATGACTGTGTGTGTGTGTGTGTGTGTGTGTGTGTGTGTGTGTGTTACTGCCTCATCTGTGTTGATATTTTTTCCACTGGGTTAGTGTTGTGGCTGTGAGATGAAGCATAATCCCGGGTATGTTGGTCTGTGTGTGTGTGTGTGTGTGTGTGTGTGTGTGTGTGTGTGTGTGTGTGTGTGTGTGTGTGTGTGTGTGTGTGTGTGTGTTTAGACAGAGGCTGCCTGATATTGACTTTATATAAAAAAAATAGAATTTGGTCTCACATACCCTGATTGCCATCATGTGACCTATAATGCCACATGACTGGAGGAGATGACATATGACCTGGAAGAGAGACACATGACCTGGAGGAGATGCCACATGACCTGAGGGTGACACATGACCTGGAGGGGATGACATGACCTGAGTGCCACAAGTACTGACCTGGGTTGACACAGGAGAGGCCACACATGCCATCACAGAGGCACACCTTCCTCTTGCTCAGACAGTCCCGGTCACCGTTACACTTCCGTAGACACGTTCGGCCCTGGGCAGAAAGACGCAATCATTAGCACTGTATACCTGCTGTAGTGTGGTGCTGATGGTGATAACATAATAAACATGTTAACTTAACCTAACCTTGAACTAACCTATCCTGGTAAGAAGAAACATTTTAACCTAGCCTGACCTACTCTAACCCAATCTACCCTAACCTAACCCAATCCACCCTAACCTAACCATATAACACAAGTAGTTATAGTATACACAGTGTCAGCAGAGGAAGTCAAGGGCTTTATTTTGTCTACGTGTTGTTGTAATTTCACTGAGTCAGTTGAAATCGTCTGTTTGTGTGGCAATTTAGTGTAAAAATACTATCTGCAATGTGAGTGTTATTTACTGCTTCAAGGTTACGTTGTGGAGGTGAAGTGAGGTGAAGTGAAGTGAGGTGAGGTGAAGTGAAGTGAGGTGAGGAGAGGTGAGCAGAGGTGGAGAGAGGTGAGGTGAGGTGAGGTGAAGTGAAGTGAGGTGAGGTGGAGGAGGTGAGGTAGGTGAGGGGTGGAGAGGTGAAGTGAAGTAAGGTGGAGGGAGGTGGAGGTGGGAGGTGGAGAGGTGAGGTGAGGTGAGGAGGGGTGAGGTGAGGTGAGGTGAGGGATAGTACTAGGGGTTTGAGGTTCTTATAAGAGAATAGTTCTCTCTCTTGTCTAGCAGAGCTTCTCCACTCTACAACACCCCCTACCTCCCACAGCCCGCATAACACCCTCACACATCACGTCCCTCCATCAGTCAGGTCCCTAGGTGATAACACAACCCGATAATTTTCCCAATGGCCACTTGTCTCAGCCCCTCATCTCCAGGTCACATACCCAGGCCAAGTCTCAGTCAACACAAAGAATAACATTTACTTTTTCTTAAGGTGTGTTGGGGGATGGATCACCTGAAGATTAGGCGCTCTCACAGCTTATTTCACCTGATGATTAACTACCCATCCTTAAACTAGGATGGGTTAGTTAGGTTGGTAGGTTAGGTTATGGTCTTATATTTGTTAGTTTTGTCTCCACCTCCCTCACCCATCTTTCCTCTCCCCTACCAACTTCCCATTCCCCTCCCCCACACCAACTCCTCTCTCTCTCTCTCCATTCCTTCCCCAGTCTCTCCCCACACCAACTCCTCCTCCTCTCTCTCTCTCCATTCCTCCCCCATCAGAAGAGGATCCAAGGAACACCATTAGACACAGGCAGGAGTATTAAGACCAATTCTGAGGCCACTTTGACTATTAAACTCAAGGTGGAAGGTTAATACGCCCCACTTATACACCGTCTCACATCTTCACTTAGGGCCCAAGGAGGCGTTTATAACTATCAACATGTCTTAGATGGAGTTCTGTATAAGGAATGGCATTTTTTTTTTATCTTGGAAACGTTTTAGGGGCATTTTCTGACGTCTTCTATATGTTTCTGAATATCCTGACTTAACCAAAACTAACACTGTATACCTGTCTAAACTCCAGGTAATCATATTAATTAACGAAGAACGAGATCACAATAGGTAAGAAGCGTGTGTTGTCATACCTGAGGTGAAGGTTAATGAGCCAACACCTCACCTGTGCTACCTGGGCCACTCGAGAGGAAAGTGCCAACACAACCTCGAGTTACACCTTGACCTTTTTTTTTACCCTTGTGACCTTGAGAAAAATAGTTTGATTCTCGGGACTGTTATGATGGTTTTGTTTTCACCTGATGATTAGACACCCCAGCAGCCCTTCATGTACCACTCCATTAACATCAACACTACCACTATATGTTCACACCTGCATGGTAACAAGACGCATGCAAATTACAAGCACAGGTAGAGCCATTACGGTCTGTCACTCTCATTATTCTACCTGACTCACGTAACATGTTGTGAAAGTCAGTCATTTTTCTCCCTCAGGTTAGGTTAGGTTAGACAGGTCAGGTCAGGCAGGGTTAGGCTGTATTGTGTTAAGGTTAGGTTAGGTCAGGTTAGGTTAGGTAAATATTCAAGTAATCGAATAAGGGTTTTATAAGGTCGTCCATCATTGAGGAAAAATGTTGACCGCTATGTAAATCCCAGGACACACACAACCTCCTATTGCACACCATCCTGGGAACAGAAAACAATCGTCTAAAACAATGAGAGATTTGAACCTGCAATCAAAGGACATTTCCCTGGCCTCTTCTTGCACTTGGGTCAATATAATCTTGCCCGAGAGAGTGGACTGTTTACACGGTCCAGTTCCCCTGCCTCCTTTTTCTCCCCACTTCCTCCCTGCCCCTCCTTTCTCCCCCCCCCTCCCCCTGCCCTCCCTCCCCACCTCCCTCCTTCTCTCCCCACTCCTCCCCCCTGCCCTCCTTCTCTCCCCACTTCCTCCCCTGCCCCTCCTTTCTCCCCCACATCCCTCCCCTGCCTCCTTCTCCCCACTCCCCAGCCCCTCTCCCCACTTCCCTCCCCTGCCCCTCCTCCCCACCTCCCCCTGCCCCTCCTTTCTCCCCACTTCCCTGCCCCTCCTTTTCTCCCCCACTTCCCCCCTGCCCCTCCTTCTCTCCCCACCCCCCCTGCCCCTCCTTCTCCCCACTCCTGCCCTCCTCCTTCTCCCCACTTCCTCCCCTGCCCCTCTCCCCTGCCCTTCCCCTCCTGCCCTCCTTCCCACCCCCCAGCCCCTCCTTCTCCCCACTTCCCTCCCCTGCCCCCCTCCCCTTCTCTCCTCACTTCCCCTCCCCAGCCCCTCCTTCTCTCCCCCCTGCCCCTCCTTTCACCCCACTTCCCTCCCTGCCCCTCCTCCTTTCCCCTCTCTACACCCCCAAATCTCCTACTCTCCCTCCCTCCCTCCCAAAACTTTCAACATTAATGAAATGTTTTTACCTTTCAACCCAAGTCACAACACTATGGTCAATATCACAGGTTAAATAAACTATATATTAACCAATCTACTCCACTAATGGTTAATATTCCAGGGATAAAAGTAGAGGTTTATTCGCCAATCAAATCTGGGCTAAAACTGTGGTCAGAAAGTCTATTTACATATTCAAAGTCTGATTCAAGAGCTTTCAAAACGCTGTCTGAATTTACAAAAGGTTCGTTCGTTTTTTTTCAGTTATCTTCGTGTGTGTGTGTGTGTGTGTGTGTGTGTGTGTGTCCCTGGAGGCTTGAGTGTGGACGTGGGTATATATCTCTCTCTCTCTCTCTCTCTCTCTCTCTCTCTCACACACACACACACACACACACACACACAGACACACAGACACACACACACACACACACACACACACACACACACACACACACATAATCTAAAATGCAATATAATAAAAAAAGATCATTCAATACAGCAAAGAAATATAACAGCCAGGTGTTAAAAGGTAGATATAAGATGTAATTATCCTTGTGTCGCACCTGTTGAGGGAAGGTGTGTAAAGGTCGCCAGGTAGGAAATTAAATTCTCATTGGTTAGGAAAAATGCCTCTAGGAGATACTGGTGTGGCAGCAGCTTCCAGGCAGTCCACCACCTACCTAGCCTAGCTGTGTGTTGATGGGTTGTTGTTGTTGTTACCACCAAAAGTGATAAACTAGGAGAGAGAGAGAGAGAAGAGAGGCATAGTGTTGACAACGTGTTTGTTGACGTGTTTAATATGAAACAGATGGTCCTCGCCTCAGGCTGCGATTGCTCTCACAGTAGTCTACCGATTCTTGCAGGAGAAACAACACGCTCGTCTAATCCTAGACGCTAAAACGTGAGTGTGATTGTGAAGTATTAAATCCTCTTAGAACCTCTAAATAACTTTAATAAGTATATTTATGTACTGTAATTTGATCATTTTATACAAATGTTCTATATCAACAGTTGTAACATGAGTTATATTTAACATGTTAACAGGCTATGTACTGTATATTATTGTACTATTCATACTATGTGTCCTGAGATAACAGCATTTGTTATATGAATTGTTCTGACAGGTTTTGACCGAATTACAGTATATGGTACGCGTCAACGTTGAGGGTTTATTTTCCAGCAACAAACCAATAACGCTCCTATGAGTTAACAGTTGTGGTTTGTGTTGTTATTATTTGAGGATTTCACAAAACTCACACACACACACACACACACACACACACACACACACACACACACACACACACACACACACACACACACACACACACACACAAAACTCACTCACGATAATTTGGCTGCACAATCATGAATATAATTTGAACTTGTGGGTCGTGTGATGGTGTGTGGTAATGACAGACACACAGCGATGACGCCCACCGCCTGCCCACACGAGACCTATACCTTCCCATGCCCATTTTAGGTCACACTCTCAAAGGTTAGGTTAGGTTAGGTTAGGTTAGGTTAGGAGGTTGGTAGGCTAGGTTGGTTAGATTAGATTAAATTAGGATCGATCAGTATTTTAACCTGTCCCAATTAATAACATGAACCAATTAGGTAAACAGATGGCGAATAAGCTGACCTGACCAATCCAAACTTTGCTACACGCACGGGACATTAATTATTAACCACAAATACTGTGAGTTTTAGTGAGGGTTCATGTATAGTGGCGTATAGTAGTGGTGATGATGTGAGTGGTAGTAGTAGTAGTAGTAGTAGTAGTAGTAGTAATAGTAATAGTAGTAGTAGTAGTAGTAGTAGTAGTAGTAGTAGTAATAAAATGGCGGCGAAGGTGGCTTTGGGGGAGGCTGAGGCCACGTTAAAAAAAAAAAACAGTATTAGTAGTAGTGTGACTGCTTGTGTGGGGTGAGTGTGTGACTGCTTGTGTGTGTGTGGGGTGTGTGTGTGACTGCTTGTGAGTGTGACTGCTTGTGTGTGTGTATAAATGGTATATAAGTATGAATGTGTATAATAACGTGTCAGTGTATGACGGTCGTGGTCTATGCGTGAGGTATATGGCGTGTACATGTAAGCCAATGGTGATGAATAGTAATTACACTAGAGCACCACACGTACACAACACACACCACGTACATACTGGTTCAGGAGCGTTATATCTAGGTCAAGGCTGTTAGGTTAAGCCAGTCTGTGACCTATCTGACTGTTAGAGAGAGAGAGAGAGAGAGGGGGGGGTGGAGAGAGAGAGAGACACCAACCTGACCTTATTATTTACACACACACACACACACACACACACACACACACACATATTTCATTCTCACCAGAAAAAGACATTCTCACAAGTAGCTCTCGTGTGTGTGTGTGTGTGTGTGTGTGTGTGTGTGTGTGTGTGTGTGTGTGTGTGTGTGTGTGTGTGTGTGAGAGACAATGATCTACGTTATGTTAATTTCACAGGTCCATATTTCCTGGCCTTTTAAACTCTTGACAAGAAATTAATGTTTGTGTTGAGGGCAAGAGTGTGGTGACGAGTGACTTCTCGTCAGTATAATTACCCTCGCTTCTCCCTATAATCATTAACAAAGCTACTAGATACAATATAAAGGACACTGTTTACCTGTAGATAGATTCTGTTTACACATGTGAAGTGAAATAAAGATTCTGTTTACATTTCTCGACGATGGTGGTGTCTCTCTGACATGGGAAATCCCAAACTAATCCACGAAAGGAGAGGAAGGAAAGAAGGAAGGAAGGAAGGAAGGAAGACAGAGAAGGAAGGAAAGACAGAAAGAAGGAAGGAAAGACAGAAAGGAAGGAAGGAAAGGCAGAGAAGGAAGGAAAGGCAGAAAGAAGGAAGGAAAGACAGAAAGGAAGGAAGAAAGGCAGGAAGGAAGGAAGAAAGAAAGAAGGGAAAGAAGAAAGGAAGGAAGGAAGGAATTTGTGCTCCCTGACGCCTGCAAGCTTTCTAACTTATGGATGGTCTGTAACCTTGAAACAGTGAGCCACAGAGCAAGGTTAAGGGTAGGGGCGTGAATGGTTAAGACAAGAGGGGGGGAGGGGAAGAGACACAGAGGTGAGGGGAGGGGGTGGGGGAGGAGGGGATAAGAACACAGGTGAGGAGGGGAGTGGGGGGAGGGGGATAGGACACAGGAGGAGGGGAGGGGAGAGGGAGGGGGATAAAGAGACAGGTGGGAGGGGAGGGGAGGGGGAGGGAGGGAGGAGGGGGAGTGGGGAGGAGGGGGGATAAAGGCATGTAGAGGTATAGGTGAGAGGGGGGTGTGGGAGGAGGAGAGAGGGAGGGGGGTAATATAGGTGAGAGGGGTGGGAGGAGAGGGGGTGTGGGAGGGAGGGAGAATAAGGAAGTGAGGTTAAGGAATGAGGTGGGTGTGGGTGTGTGTAGGTACATGACAGCAGAGGGAGGAGAGTGTGTGGGAGGAGGATGAAGAAGAGTAGAAAACGGGGAGATAAAATAACATTATATAAAGTGGTAAACTATGATATTTTAGTCACAAGACCATCATCACCACTTACCATGATACAAAAAGTGGGGGCAAGAGGTGGGTGGGCCTGTGTGTGGGGAGGGGGGACGCTAGAAGAGGAGTGGGAGGTGTAAATATTAAAATTACAGGTGGTCCAAAATGAAGCCCTAAGATTCGTCACAGAAAGATACCCTTCACCAAAAACCACAGCCGAGATACATAGAGACCTGAGAAGGAAACCCATCAACCAGCAGCTGCACACCTGGCCAGCAGAATCTGGCAAAAGATAGAACGATCAGAGCAAGAACTCCTTCAAAGACTCCACCAGATAACGACAACAACCATACATGGTTCAAAAAAGTTACCAAATCTCAAAAAGGTCCATTACCACCCCCAATCCACACGGCCAGGCAATAGACAACCTCCTAGACCAGCATCCGCCAGTAGGGTCGGCGGAATATGAAATAAGGCCCTAAAACACTCATATATGGGACAGGGTGAGGCTGTCTAGTGCCTGTACCGACAGGACAATAACTAAACCTATGACACACCTCAACACACCATTACCTTAGCTAGGCGGTCAGCCCGCCTTCACCTCCTGAATTTCTTCTTACTTCGAACTATAACTTCCTTCCCCACCTCTACTCCTTCACCGCCTCTCTCTAAAAAAAAAAAAGAGGTGTAGGAGGAAGGAGGAGGAGGCGCTAAAGTAGGAGGACGTGGGAGGAGTTGAGCCCTGAGGGAGAGTGTGAGAACAAAGGCGAGGAGACTGTATGTGTGTGTGTGTCACCAGGATGAAGCACCATCATACAGCACCAAGATCAAGCACCAACCCCCACCAGAAGCACCATCATGCAGCACCACTTGTGAGAAAACCATTACAAAACACCATGCTGAACCACCATTATGAGGCACCAATTTAGGTTTGGTTAGATTTACGTAAGTTAGGTTAGGGCACTACCGATCTCCTGACGGCGGACTCATCCCTGGGGCAGGGAGACGGACGGGGCATTCCTTAGGGTCTGTATTCCTTCCGCCCTCCAAGACCTCGTCGTCGGGGTAGAAGGCGTAGGTGAAGGTGCTGTAGGGGTGGAAGGACGGGGGCAGCAGGTGGTGATGGTGGACGCCTCCCCACACCTCCCCGGCACTCATCTAAACAAACAAACACTAGAGTTAAGATAATGATGACAGAATAAGAAGAAGGAAGAAAAAGAAGGTACAAGAAAAGGAGGAGGACAATGAGAGAAGATGAGGAGCAAGAAGAACAACAGGAGAAGAAGAGGATGAGGAACCAAAGAAAGAGAGAGAGAGAGAGAGAAAACAGCATCAGACCCACAATCATTACAAACACGACCCCAAGTAAATCTCAATCACACAACAGGTCTGGGGGGTGGGGGTAAGGGTGGTTCTGGTGGCAAGGGTGGGCTCTGGGGCAGGGTGGGTCAGGTGTGAAGAAGTGTCAGAGAAGTTTGTAGCGTGAGAAGCGGCTGTAAATTTCAAGCAGTAGCAAAAAGGTAATGCAAGTGAAGAGTTGATTACTACTACTGTGGAGGAGGGGGGGGGGGGGAGAGAGAGAGAGAGAGAGAGAGAGAGAGAGAGAGAGAGTTCAATCACCTCACCATTCACCACCCCTACCACACGACCCCCACTTCACCTCCCTCACTCACCTCCCCACTCACCACACCCCCTCACTCCACCACCCCCCTCACTTCACCACACCCCTCACTTCACCTCCTCCCCTTACTTCACCTCCCCCCCCCACCTCCCCCTCACTTCCCTCCCACCACTCCCCCTCACACCCCCCCCACTTCACCCCCCATTTCACCACCCCTCTCACTTCCACCCCCACTCCCCTCACCCCTCACTTCACCACCCCCCCACTTCACCTCTCCCTCACTTCCACCCTCACCCCCACTTCACCTCCCCCACCCTCACCACCACCTCCTTCCCCCCACTCACTTCACCCCCACTCCCCCACCCCCCCCTCACTTCCCTCCCCACTCCCCCTCCCCTCACTCACCACCTCACTTCCACCCAACCCCCCCTCCCCCTCCTCCTCCCCCACCCCCTCACCCCTCACTTCACCACCTCACTTCACCTCCTCACTTCACCTCCCCACTCCCCCTCTTTCACCTCCCCCTCACTTCTTTACCTCCCACTCCTCACCTGACGTCTACACCTAAGAGTCATTATAACTCACTCAGTAAAACACTCCATTGGGTTTTTTTTGCCTCCGTTTCATGTTAATTCTCTGGGTATATTTAGCCCAGGGGCATTATGGTGGTGTGTGTGTGTGTGTGTGTGTGTGTGTGTGTGTGTGTGTGTGTGTGTGTGTGTGTGTGTGTTCTTCATAAACCAGATACGTGCGTCTTATTACTTTCACGCCCTCCTCCTCCTCCTGCCCCAGCTGGTGTTAATGCCTCCTAGCTGGCGTTTTAAGGGCCCAGATGGTGTCAGTACCCTCGTAGATGGCTCTTGTACCTCCTCTCAGATGGTGTCACCTGATACAGCTTAATACATCAGGTTACAGCATGTAAAAACAAGGATTGCATTTCCTTCCCCTCAAGAATCAAATTAAGTAATTACGATTTTCTTTGAATTTTAACATTTATTTTTATTACTCACGACACAACGACTTCCCAGACATACATCCGCATACGTAAAAATGCATCTGGGGTGTATGTTGTATTTCCAGACCGAGAGAAATACACGAGAAATACTTTACTTCGTGTGTATTGTTGAGAATATTGCTCAAGTTTGTTAATGCTTCTGTTGACAAGCTTTGGATGATTATAGAAGTGTGTCTGCCAGGCTCTCTCTCTCTCCACCTGCACCATCTTGTCTTCCACATACTCTTCCTCCTCGACCTCTTCCACCACCTCCTCTTCCACCATTCCCTCCTCCTCCACTACCACCACCACCACTATCACCACTATTCTCACCGTCACCACTATCACCAACACTCCCATAACTCCACTACTATCACCACCACAAATCCTTTCCACACACATACACACACCAGCGGGAGCGTGTGTGGGTGGGCGTGTGGTGGGTGGGTGGTGTAGGGGCCGCCCGTGCACAAATTGTTAGGTGTTACACATTTCACTCGGCCGCCGTGGGATATTAAAATCCTGGGAAACAGCGAAGGTAAAAATGACTTTGGTGTTCAAGGAAGCGGCGGGCAAGGTATTCTGACAGTGAGGCCACCAGTGCTGATATGAATACCGGAGCTTCACCTCGTCCACCTCTGACCTCTCCCCCTCCTTCTGACCTCCCCCCTCCTCTGCTCCCCTCTCTCTCTGACCTCCCCCCTCTCTCTCCTTCTGACCTCCTCTGACCTCTCCCTCTCTCCCTCTGACCTCCCCTCTCCTCTGACCTCCTTTCTCCTCTGACCTCCCCTCCCTCCTCTGACCTCCCCTCTCCTCTGACCTCTTCCTCTGACCTACCTTCTTGCTTCCCTCTCTACTCCTCTCAGCTATTCCCCCTCTCCTCTTTATCACCTCTTCACCTCCCTCATCCCCTCCCCTACGTTTCACCTCCCTCTCCCCTCTCACCAAACATTAATCATAACCTCTGACCTATATATGAGGGAAATAGTGATTAACAAGGAGACATAACCTAAGCTCAGGTACTCTTAAACTTAACCTATTTGTGAAGGTAATAGGAAATAGCATAATAGGAAGCATTCAATAGGCACAACAACTATTATGTACCCTCAGCTTTGACCTACTTATGAAGGAACGAGTGAACGTTACCCACCTCCCCCCCTTCCCCTGTGCTCTGACCCAGGGAAGGATATAAAACCGTATTAAATCTACTACTGCAACTAACCACTACACACACACACACACAACACACACACACACACACACCTGGTTTACCTATTCACGGCCGTAAACATCCAGGTAAGGTAAGACACACCTTCAGTATACCTTGGTCTATGAATGATACACCTGGGCTCTGTCAGGTGTCTTCGTGTGTGTGTGTGTGTGTGTGTGTGTGTGTGTGTGTGTGTGTGTGTGTGTGTGTGTGTGTGTGTTCTTTATTATGGCCTTTACTAATGGTCCCTTCCTTATGGTCTCATAGTCCCTACTAAGGGCCCTACTAGGTCTTTACCATCCTTCCTAATGGACCTTAACCCCTTAAAGTACCAAGAGAGAGAGAGAGAGAAAAAAGCTTTAAAACACAATAGATTTAAAGTTGGTCAATAGCGTTTAGTGGAATAACCATAGGCCTCTGTGTGTGTGTGTGTGTGTGTGTGTGTGTGTGTGTGTGTGTGTGTGTGTGTGTGTGTGTGTGTGTGTGTGTGTCTGTGTGTGTGTGTGTGTGTGTGTGTGTGTGTGTGTGTGTGTGTGTATTATTGTTGTGTGTGTGCGTGTGTGTGGGATTTCATTACTGCTTGTTTGTAGAAACACTAACAGAAAGATATATCAACACTGACTGCAAAACACACACACACACATACCAGAAACATTGAGTTAAGAGTGCCAGAGGGTGTGTGTGTGTGTGTACAGTCAATATGTGGGGGTTGTTTACCTTCTGCCACCACACCTTCAGGCTGCTCTTACTCCCTCGTTTGTCAGTCCTCCTCCTCCTTACCTCACCCTCACACTCCTATCCTCCTTACTTCCTCTCCCCCTCTCTCCCTCCCTCTCCTCCCTTTCCTTATCGCCTCACCTTCCTTCCTCCCCCATACCCTTTACCATTCTCCCTCTTTTCTCCCCCCCTTCCCCTTCCCTCTCCTGAGTGGGTGGGATGAGTGGAAAAGAAGTATGGTAGCCTCCCGTACTCTGAGGATGGGTGGTGGCGGGGAAGGATGGAGTGGTGGAGAGATGAAGTGGTGGAGAGGGGAGGATGGGTGTGGAGGGAGGAAGAGTGGGGAGAGGAGATAGGTGGTGCTACAGTACCTGTCCCCGTGCCTGGCCCCTACAGTACCTGGCCCTGGTACCTGGCCTCTACAGTGCCTGGCCTCTACAGTGCCTGACCTCTGCAGTACCTGGCCTCTACAGTACCTGGCCCTACAGTACCTGGCCCCTACAGTGCCTGGCCCCCTCTTCTGCCTGGCCCCTGAGTATCTGGCCTCTACAGTACCTGGCTTCTACAGTACCTGGCCTTTGCAGTGCCTGGCCCTACAGTGCCTGGCCTCTACAGTACCTGGCCTCTACCTGGCCTCTGTAGCCACCTGGCCTCTACAGTGTGGCCCCTACAGTACCCTGGCCCCTACAGTGCCTGGCCCCTACAGTACCTGGCCTCTCTGCAGTGCCTGGCCTCTACAGTACCTGGCCTCTACAGTGCCTGGTGCAGTGCCTGGCCCCTACGGGTGCCTGGCCCCTGTGCCTGGCCTCTACGGTGCCTGTTCTCTACAGTGCCTGGCCCCTACAGTACCCTGGCCCCTACAGTACCTTGGCCTGGCCCCTACAGTGCCCTGGCCCCTACAGTACCTGGCCTCTACAGTACCCACCTGGCCCCTACTGTACCTGGCCTCTCTACAGTACCTGGCCTCTGCTGCACCCTGGCCTCTGTACCTGGCTCTACGTGCCTGGGCTCTACAGTACCTGGCCTCTACAGTGCCTGGCCTCTACAGTACCTGGCCTCTACAGTACCTGGCCTCTACAGTACCTGGCCTCCTGAGTGCCTGGCCTACAGTACCGGGCCCCTGGTGCCTGTTCGGTGGCCCTACAGTGCCGGGCCTCTACAGTACCTGGCCTCTACAGTACCTGGCCTCTACAGTACCTGGCCCCTACAGTGCCTGGCCCCTACAGTGCCCTACAGTGCCTGGCCTCTACAGTACCTGGCCCTACAGTGCCTGGCCTCTACAGTGCCTGGCCTCTACAGTGCCTGGCCTCTACAGTGCCTGGCCTCTGAGTACCTGGCCCCTGCTGTGCCTGGCCTCTACAGTGCCTGGCCTCTACAGTGCCTGGCCTCTACAGTACCTGGCCTCTAGTACCTGGCCTCTACAGTACCTGGCCCTGGTGCCTGGCCCTACAGTACCTGGCCCTCCACAGTGCCTGGCCTCTACGGTAC